GGCCAAGTGCAGGTTTTATTCCATGATTTTCCACAGGTTGACCCCAGCAGCAGGAAGCTTTGGCTGAGCCATAGATGTGTCCCCCAAGTCCTTCCTTCCTGAGGCCTCACAGAGGGAACTGGCAGAGTGTCAAACCCATGTCTCTGAACCCAGATATTTTGAGTTGTATATCTGGAAAATAACTCCCTTGGTCACAGCAGCTAAAAACCCTTGGGAATGAAATGTCATCAGCTTTCCTCACTTGGAGTTGGGTATTTTACCTTCCTGTGTGCTGTTGTGTGTTCTAGTTTCAGAAGGAATACCCCCTCATCTACCAGAAGAGGTTCCCAACTACTGAAAGTGAAGCAGTGTTGTTGGAGAACAAACCCACCATCAAACCACCAATGCTGAGCCTGAGAAAACCAAGATTTCCTAGCCTGAGACACTAATTCCACCACATTCCAGCTGCTTGTTTATTGGATGGATGGATATTTACATGCTGCAGAGACCTGAGGGTGGCTCTTTGTGTGTAGAAGGAAGAAACGTTTACATGGTCACTCAAAAGGTGCCAAAATAACCTTTTTTTTCTTTTTTTTTTGGTGCAGGTAACTTGAATGACTGCTAAGGGAAATATTTATCTGTTTACAAATTATTGCCATATATTGTGCTCAGTAAAATAAATGTGAAAATAAGCTTGAAGCTCTTAATAACCAAAAATTTATATGTGGTTTTCACATGGGGAAACTAATTATACACTTACTGTTGTAACTTTTTAATGTCTGTTCAGGAATTTGTGCCATTTGTTATCATTTCTGTAGGTTTTTCAATGTTTGTATGTTCCAAGTGCCTTCTTGATATTCTCAGATGAGTTTTCTTTCAACAAAACCACATTCTTTGAGTTCAGGACTAATTTCAAAGTTTGTTTCCAAGGGAGCCAGACATTCACCATAAATAAACGAGTCTCTGACTCCCTAAAATATTCCTGTTCATCTCATCTAAGCTTTTGTTTATTTATATTAAAAATTTTGAGCCTGTTTCTGTTGTTTTCATGCAGGATTTATTTTGGATCTATGGATGTAGGATGGAAGTGATGGGTGATACATGAAGTGCCAACATGGAGAATCAGAATGCAGTAAATCTCCTAATTTTTGGTTCTAGACTTAAGAGTTTTATTTATTAACCACCTGAGGGTTTTTTTTGTGAGAAAACAACTTAAAGGGATCGTTGTCTCCTCTCTAGGAGATCCTGGAGATGTTTGGACAGGCAAAAAAACTCAAAAGCCCAAAGTGATGAATGACAGGAGTTCAGTACTGGGCTTGGAGAGAAGCAGGTGCTGAAATCCTTTTGGTTTTCCCCAAAGAGGCACGGATAGAATGTGGGGGGTAAAGCCTTGGGCACTCAAGGGAATTTAAACTAAGATTTAATGGAAAAAAAATAATCCCTTTTCCCTTCCCAGATGCAGTTCAGGGCCTTGAATGTTGACGTGTTGCTGTTGTCGAGCTGCTCAGGTTGCTCTGATCACTTCTCATGTCCTCAGTCTACTCTGTGACCTGTCCTTGTGACTTAAGCTGGTGCTCAGGAGGATTTGGGGCTGTGCAATAGCTCCCATGCTGCTCTTTGTTTCCTTTCATCATCACCATCAATAACATGCTGTGTGCTGAAGCCTTCCTGTGTTTGAACAGTGTCAAAACAGGGCTTGGTCGTGAGGATTTTGTCTGTTAGGGTTCAGTTGTCATATTGCCTGTAGATAAATCACCCATCTGCTCATTTTTGGCTGTATTTGCAGAAAAATGGGAGGGAGGCACTACCAGCACTGGGCAGCAGAAGGTATGTCTCAACTCCAACTTGGTTTTCACTTCAGGGTTCAGGGTTTTTTTTTATTAAGCACTTCTGTCCTTTAAGGAACTGGATATTTTAAAGACTTTGAGTGTTTTTCTTTGTTGGGAGCTCTTTGGTGATCCCAAAGATGCCCCAGGGATGGGGCAGCGACCACCTCTTGGGGCAACCTGGGTCAGGGGCTCACCACCCTCAGCATCCCAAATTCCTTCCTTCTCTCTCCCCCTTGTCCTGCCCCTAACAGGCCCTGCTCCAAAGTCTGTCCCCACTTTTCTGACAGGCCCCTTGAAGTCCTGGAAGGCCACAAGGAGTTCTCCCTGGAGCTTTCTCCAGTCCCAGCCTTTCTGTGCATGATACTTAGTGGCACACAGAGATATTTGGCACGATAAATATTTCCCAATATATGATTTTTGCCCTTTTCCTGACCAGGATGAAGGCTTTGTAAACAGGAAACCAGGAGCAGCCCAGTTTTAGCCTGTGTTATCAACACCCTGTAGATGCCTCCACACTGGCATAGCAGGTGACAAAGGTTCCTCTTGTCTCACCCCTGTGGGCAGCAGCTTTTAAAACTCCCTTTACCTGCCACAACTTGCTTCCAACTTTTCTCAACCTGTCCAGTGTTGTGTAAATGCTTTATTTATGCATTCCAGTTAAGCAACTTACTCAGCCAGAAGCTCCCATTTCCTAGGATTTGGCTCTCAGAGCCCTTGATCCCTGTTATTTAACATTCCCTCTAAGGTTCTGACAGAATTCCACAAAAAGAGGAATAAACAGACAAACCCACCAGCTATGGGGCAGTTCAAACGTTCCAAGTGAGTGACAGATACAAGGAGAAGTTTAATCAGAAGCTTTCTCTGAGCTGTCATTTTCTCAAGTGATTTTTTCTCTAATTGAAAGCTTTTTTATTTTAATATTATTTTTTAATTAGCTTTATTGGGCTTTGCTCCTTTTCTCTGCTCAGGGCCAGGAGGGGGGGGGATGAGAGGCTCAGGGGCTGGGTCTAACTTTTCAATATCTCCCTTAAAAAAAACTACACCCCTCTCTACTGTGGCTTTTAACTTGTGCAGACCTAAAACTCTTCCCTTCTGCTCTTTCAGAGCTGTTCTTTGTGATTGCCACCCTTAGTGGGAGTGGCAGTTGGAGGGAGATTCTTGTTGCCCCCTTCCCTGCACAGAAGCCAGGAGGAGATGCTGCTCCTCACCCTTACCTGCATCTTTTTTTTGGCTAGTTTGTGCCAATAACTCCTTTTTAGTTCAATTAGTTGCAAGGAAGAACAGTTGACCCTTGAGTGTTTCCAGGAGTGGGGCATCCAGCACCTCACAGACCTGATGGGTAGCAGCAAGAGCAACCAGTCTGTCAAGGGACTGAGGTGACCCTCAATTAAACCTGTCACCCTTTGGGCTTCCCAAGTTCACAACTGCCAAACTGTGAGTCACCACCTTCAATGGCAAAAACTGGTTCCTCAGATCTAGTCCTGGCAGGCAGATGCCACCTGGGCAACTGTGAGTGAAGAGAGAGGAGAGCTGCAGGGGCTGGATGGAGGCTCTTCTTCTTGCCCATCCTAATTGCCACCAGGTCCACAGGGTTGGATCATGCTCAGTGCTGATTACAGGCAAGAAGAAAACTTGGCTGCTGAAGTTTGAGTCCAAGGACATTCTTTGCTCTCTGCCTCCTGAGCTGCTGGAGCAGGCTGTGGCCTGGGAAGACACTTGTCACCATAGAGTCACTGAGCTTCTGAGATACCAACAGCTGGGCCACTTCTCCTGGGGTGAGTGATGGAGTCCCCACCCCTGGAGGGGTTTCCAAGCCGTGGAGATGTGGTGTGAGGGACACGGGGCAGTGGGGACCTGGCAGTGCTGGGGGAACAGTTGGACACCATGATTTTTTCCAGCCAAAATGATTTTGTGATTCTGCATTTATTGCTAGGATGCTTTCACAAACACACACCCATATAAAACAAAAGGTTAATGAGAGGTTTCAAAGGACTGACAACACCTCAACTGTGTATCTGTGTTTTCAGTTAAAAGCATTAAATGAACCCACAGTTCAGAAGGAAAAACTTTATCTTCTAGAAGAGCACCACCTGTCCATGGCCTGGAACCCCCTCCAGGGGC